CCATGGCCTGGTCCCCGCTCCTCCTCAGCCTCCTCGCTCACTGCACAGGTGACTGGATGCAGGGACAGGGGAAGGGGCCCTGGGAGGACTTGTGGGGCCTTGTTTCTCCTCTTGTCTCAAGACCCCAGCATCAGCCTCTGTGTGTCTCTCCCCCTTGCAGGGTCCTGGGCCCAGTCTGTGCTGACTCAGCCGTCCTCCGTGTCTGGGGCCCTGGGTCAGACGGTCACCATCTCCTGCACTGGAAGCAGCTCCAGCATCGGTGGTAATTATATGAGCTGGTACCAACAGCTCCCAGGAAAAGCCCCCAGAACCATCATCTATGATAATAGCAAACGACCCTCAGGGGTCCCGGATCGATTCTCTGGCTCCAGTTCTGGCAGCTTCTTCTCTGGCAGCTCAGGCACCCTGACCATCACTGGGCTCCAGGCTGAGGACGAGGCTGAGTATTACTGCCAGTCCTATGACCGCAGTAACTATGCTCACACAGTGCTCCCGGCCTGTGGGGAAGTGAGACAAAAACCTGCTGTCCCTCAGCAACGGGTCTCCCTGTGCAGCTCCCCCTCCTTGGCCAAGCCAGCTCCTTCCTTTGTTTGGTCTAAACTGTAGTCTGAACTAATCTTAAAGAACACTGGCTACAAAATAGTGCAAATTCTCTTAAATTCAGCCCCTCCAGCCTCTCCTAAGCAGGAACACACTGTATGGTTTTCCCACATTGTGGAGAAACTCCTGGGTGCCGGGGGCAGTCTGCCTGGGTAACAGAGTCAGCTGATGAGGGAAACAAAGGCAGGAGAAATGTCGCTTAAAGTCAATCTCCTCCAGCTGCAGCCCCTGACAGACACCTGACCCATGCGGGTTGTGAGCTTTCTCCAGGACCTCATGGGTGCCTTAGTGCCCTCATGTGTGTGTTTTATTAAAGACTGAAGTAAGCTTATCTTCACAGCGGCTAGCCCCTCGATTCCTGAAACCCTGGCTTCCATATTCCTTAGAGACTTACACTATCCCTCACCTCCACTAATTATAAAGTATATAATCAGTCACTCCGCACAATCCCAGTGAGCTTTCTGCCCATGGGTCCTGTCCACGGGCTACAGTAAAATCATCTTTTTTCAACATTCAATGTTTCAAGAATTCCTTTTTGGCTATTGGGCTACAAAATCCCATATCATGGTGACAGGTCAAGATAGAACCAGAGACAGGGAGTCCCCCTGTGTCCCACTGCGGATAGAGCCCTGTCCAGAGAGTTTGCATTCACTCCACTTACTGAGCACCTACCATGTTAGTCGAGGGATGTGGGCCATATGTGGACATGACAGGAAGGGTGTGCAGGCTCAGGGAGCTGACAGCGTGTGGGGGAAGAGAGAGGACACAAGCTAAACATGTTGTCAGGGAAAGCTGTGCTCAGGATAATGAGGAGGCGTGGGGTTGGGGGGTGGAGCCGGAGCATTGGAGGGGTGCACAGGGAACTCCAGAATCTTCTGTGTCATAATGACATCCATGTTCTGCACAGACAACGAGGGAACTGGAGGGAGCATGTAGGTGGGATGTGGCAGGGGCTGTGGACTCTGTCCCAGTCAGACGAGGAGTTCTGGACAAGGGGTTGATGGGGCGGAAAGTAAGAGTCCTCCTGACCTGGGGGAAGCAGGGACTGAGAATGGGAGTTGGGAGGAGTGGGTAGAGGTGGGGGGGCTTGGGGACAGTGGGTGGAGGGGGTTCCACCAGCTGGGGCAGGATGAGAACCCATCTCTGAGGCAGGATGAGTTACACCCCCTGTTTCCAGGAGATAGGATCAGCCCCTGACCCAGGGGCCTGTTCGTCAGGAGTCCTAGAGACGCACGTACCTACTTACTCTTGTCGGACCCTTGATGAAACCTCACCTGTGCCTGTTGTTGGGGAGGAAATATTTCCTGTGCTCTTCACGGTCCATTTGGCTGAATCAGAATCACACTGACATTTGGCGGATTAACAGGAGAAAATCAAGTTTAATTGCCTACTTAATGTGAATCCACACAGACGTGGAGAATTCCAAGGATAGTCAGGCAACATGACCTTCATATGAGTGAAGCAGGGGGGTGGGGTCTGAGGATCAAAGAGGAGGAAGAGCACGAGCAGGTTGGTGAGGGGACATGTTTGCAGACAAAGGTCGTCCTGCGCTGTAGCCACATGTCTTAGGTACAGAGGACACCCTGCTACTGGCTCTCTTCCTGGTACCAGCAGGCAGTTTTGGGGGAGGTACAGAGCTTTTCCTAAATCTGGTGAGTTTCATTTTCTTTTAACAAAATAATGTTTACACCGAAGTGGCCCATCTTGGGGCAGTCTAGTCTTGGCCAGGTCCCTCCCTCCTCTGAAACTTCCCAAGGTTACACATGTCCAAAGTTGGGCTAGACGATTGGTCAGTTTGGTTGACACTCCTGACAATAAGCCAGTTTAGTTAAGCTTATTTCAGGAGGGGGTGATGCAGGTGTGTTCTCCAAGTAAGGCCTGTGGTTCTAGAAATCAGGTATTAAACCAGAGGTATTTCTATGGAAACAAACAAAATGATGGTTCATGATTGTATCAAAGTATAAAGCAGTTCCCAAGTTCTGAGGGTAGCAGGAGAGAAGACTTCTAGATGTCAAGCTCAAATATCCTCAGATAGAGTGACAGCAAGCTGTGACAATCTGACAGATTTTCCTCGTTTGTAGTTCAAATGTGTCTGGTGATCCCTGAGTGGCCCACAGAGCAACAGGGACAAAGACCGTCTCTATGTGAGCTGCTCTGGTGGTTTTTCTGAAGTTTACATCATGTTGTGTGTATTTACTTTTCAGGACTTCAGGGAAAATGCAGTTTGAGTCCAACTGAGAAAGGTGGGAGAAAAATCGTGATGTTAGTTTTGAGACTTGTCGCCAGACATTGTAGGAAGCTAGAGAACATCAGGATCTAGTCCAAGTTTTAATCGACAGGATTGGAACCAAGTATTCACTCTGGTGTGTTACTGAAACATTTTTTCTCTACAATCACCCTACAATCATTTCTACTAAGGATAGCCAAATTAACATTAATTTGCTCACCAAGTAATTGTAGTTTCTAAAAGAACTTGGTCTGATTATTAATATAAGTGCAGCAAGAATGGCAATCAACCATATAGGCTCTTTAAAATCTGCTTTGCTGGAACTTTTATAAGAACCTCTAGATTGAACATTTAAGAGCCCGTTCAGGCCAGAAGCTAAGCCAAAACTTGTGCCTGGTACTTGTCATCAGACTTAACCTACAACACCTATAGACTTGGGGAAATTTCCTGTTTTTCAGGGACCCTAATATCCCACGGTTCCTGCATCTGCTAAGATATGACCTTCCTGAGTCACCTGGTAAAGGTGCTGGAAACTCTGTAAGCAGGTGGCCGGCTGATACTTCCAAGCAGCTTTATTGTCTCCATAAAGTTAATGTTAGTTCCTTAGAGCTGCATGGTCATATCTGAGTATATACAGATACATATCTCTTTCCAATATGACCTTGTAGTCAGAGTCTTAGTAATCTAACCACTGTTTCCAATTATATCTTGTTACAAGGAAAACAGAATCTTATGAAACTTATGCTAATAAGTATATTGCCATTAATGTATAAGAATGCTTTCTGATGGATTCTGAGTTTTGAAGGGATCTCGTATGGAGAAAAAATAAATAGTTTCATTTGTTCACCAAGGTATATTTGGTGAAGTTCTTATAGATCAGTTAGCTTAAGAAACGTTTCCTTAAATATGAAGGAAGAAAACATTTTTAAGTCAACAATGTTTGAAACAAAAAGTCATGAAAGTATAATTATTTTCCTCTGGACAATCAGTTTCATGTTATTCATTTTTTGTTCTGTTTGAATCCAGTTCTTCTATTAGTTCTGGCAATTTTTACTTTAGTTTTACTCTCTTAAAGGTATCAGAAACCTACATTTTTTCAAAGTTCGGCTCATGAATATCCTTGGAGATGTAACACATTTGCAGTAGTAGCATCAGAGTAAGATGGGAACTGTACGTGACAAGACATGACAGTGGCCATCGGTACGGATAGCTTAGAGGTCATCACGATGTAATTGACAAGGAAATGTGTTATTCCCGTGACATGGAACACAACCATCTATCAAACACAAATTTGGAAAGTTACATAGTTATAAACAAAATGTAGGACTTTTTAAAATATCAAAAATATATATTTTTCAATGCTTCAAGGTTCTGATAAACATAGGAAATACTTTGGTAAAACAGAATGCATATTTTCCAAGCAGATCATTTTAAAAGTGAACAAAAACTTTTGTTTACCATTATTTTTGTAAAAGCGGACCAGTAATTCAAGGAAAATTTGACTTTTCAACCAAGTTAAAACAGAATTTTAATTTTGCCTCCACATAGTTTGATATTAAAGCTGACTTACTTACTTATATTTATCTTAATTTTAGCGAGTATTGACCACACATAAAATTTCTTTCTAGGTTCCTTTCACAAAAACCTACTACAACGTTGTCCTATTGTGTCTAGACCCCAGCATCACCCTCTCTGTGTCTCTGCCCCTTGCAGGATCCTAGGCCCAGTCTGTGCTGAGTCAGCCGCCCTCCGTGTCTGGGGCCCAGGCCAGAGGGTCACCGCCTCCTGCACTGGAAGCAGCTCCAACCCCAGGGGTTATGCTCTTTAGTACCACTTTAGTGCCAACAGCTCTGAGGAGTAGCCCCTCTAACTCATCTATGATCATAATAATGAGTCTTTGGGGGTCCCTGATCAATTATCTGGCTACAGGTCTGGCAACTCAGGCTCCCTGACCATCGCTGGGCTTCAGGCTGAGGACGAGGCTGATTACTCCTGCCCGTCCTATGACAGTGGACTCCATACTCACACCGTTCTCCCAGGCTGTGCGGAAGCAACACAGACGTGCTGTCCCCACAGCAACAGGGCTCCCCGTGAAGCCCTATTTCCTGGCCAAGCCAACTGTGGGTTCCTTTCTTTCTTTGGTCCACAAATTCCTTTCACATTCTTTTAAATTTGTCCCTGAACCCTGTCCTTGGCATCCACAGATTTTATCATTTTCTCAAATTGAGCAAAATTTTCTGGGTACCATAGCAGGATGGCTGGTGGACAGAGTCCATCATGAGCTGGGGAAGAACCAGCAAAACAAAGTCTAGCTACGTGCAAGTCCCAATTTGTTGGGAATGTCCTATATGTGTCCTGTACTAGCAGCTCCCATGTATTGGGTCCCAAATCCACAGCTATTATGATGTGAGTCCCTCTGGGGACCCTGATCCTTTCTTTGCTTCCATGTCTTACAGCTCTGGCTCCCTGACCATCACTGGGCTGAGGTCTGAGGACAGTCAGCTCCTCACTGCCTCTCCTGGGACCGCATCTCAGGCTGACACAGACTCCAGGCCTGTGGAAATTGGGACCAGAGCCCCTTTCTCATCGGCCAGGAGAGGGAGGCCCCAGCGGCTGCTCAGGCTCTTCCCGCGGCTTCTGTTTCTGGTGCTCCTGCTGCGGCCATCATGGGGCCAAGTCCACGCAAGGGCATCTCCTGGGTGTGAGGGCTCCTCCTTTCCTCCTGACCCACCTTCACTTGCAGCAGCCTCTCCCTAGACAAAGGGTCTCCCAAGGACACAGAAAGGTCATCTCCCCCACAGGGTCTCTACACTGAGGTTCATGGACTGGCGGTGGCAGGTCCAGGGTCAGCATCTCCTCCCTGAACTTTGAGGAATCTGAGTTCTTCATTCTTGATCATTTACCTACTTCTAGAATTTTCCAGACCCATGTAATCCTATTAGTCATCCATAGAAATGTCTGTTCTTTGTGCTAATTGGGGTGATTTCTTCTGTCCCTGCTGCATGAATAGGGGAGTACTAAGGAATCATATAATTGGGTCTGTTAGGATGACTCCCTTTTTATTCTCATCAATGCGGAGAGCGAACCAGTGATTTTTCTTGTTCACTTACATTGTCTATTACTTGTAGAAAGACGTTGAATAATAATGGAGTTAAGGTCACTTATGCCTGTTCCCGATCTTGTAGAAAGGTACTCCCCCCTCACCACAGTAGCTAACTTCCTGTCTGGGGGACTGAATTCTAGGTGTGCTGGACAGAGTGTGTTACCATGGATCAAATGTGTCTGTCTGTTTCTATTTTATGTAGTTTTTGTTAGGACTTTGCTTTCCATTTGCTCAAAGAGTCTGTCAAGATCTAGTGAGATAATGTGATTTTCATTTATTGGTTTATTAATAGGATAGCTTATATAAAATAATTTTTACTGTGGAATTCAACATGTATGCCTGCGGTAATTCACATATGGTCATGGTGTATGAACGTAGGGATGGGAGCTTGGAGTTACACTGTTCATATTGTATTTAGATCATAGGTAAACTATGTCTTAATACTGACCTGCAAATTTCCTTTTCCTGTACAATATTTTTTGGGTGTCTGTATGAGTATTACTTTTTCTTTCTATAAAAATTTAAATTTTCTGGGGACATCTGGCTGGCTTAGTCAGTTGAGCATGCAACTCTAGATCTCAGAGTCATGAGTTCAAGCCCCACATTCGGCATGGATCCTACTTAAAAGTGTAAAAAATAAAGTATTTAAATTTTCCATTGTTTTTTAATGCTTTTCAAAAACATATATATGAAGCAAACAAATAAAATTTTCTGCTCTCTGAAAGTTTGTTATTTTTTCTTGTGAAGCTATCTCATCTAATGCCTTTCTGTGGAATAGTTCCTAATAATATTCCCTATTATTTCTTTTTCTAAAAGAGATTTTATTTATTTATTTGAAAAAGAGAGAGAGAAAGTGTGAGAGAGAGAGCAAGCATGAGCGGGGTCAGGGGCAGAGGGGCTTGATCCCAGGACCCTGGGATCATGACCTGAAGAGAAAGCAGACGCTTAACCGACTGAGCCACCCAGGGTCCTAGTGACTGGACCAGTCTTGCAGGTTCTCTGGGCCTGTCCAGCTTCCTCATGCCCTCAGTCAGTCATTCCACCACATTCTGGGGTTTCCTCAGACAGCTCCCCTCTGGAGGGGCAGGGGCTTTGTGCTGGGAACCGGCAGTAAATTAGACAGAGGCGGTCCTTTCTCTCTGCCTTAGATGCTCTTCACTTCTCCTACTCCTCCTTGTTTCACCTTCTCCCCGCTCCAAGGCATCCCTGAAACTCCGATATCCTGCCCCAAAGCGTAATTGGCCAGTTCCCTCCTCCACACTATTACATTTGTCCTCCCCAGAGGAGTGTGGGAGAATCCAACCTTCACCTGGAATTCTTTGAGGGACCTCTCTCCCCATTTGTCAACTGCACGAGGCACAGCCCTTCCCGGGACCACATTCCTCTATATCCCTTCTGAGAGTCTGTTCCTTATTTCTGTTTCCACCTTCCCCTTCTCATACCTACCTTTGTCCTTGACCAGAAGCAGAGATGGGACCTATATGTGGAATAGATGTGTGGTCATAGACAGCTACCCCATATGGAGATGATGCATCATCCCAAGGGAACCGTTGTTCTAGTTGAAGATCCACGTGTCTTCCTGAGTGTCCTCATTCAGGTCCTTCCTCACATGGGGAGCTGAGAGGTGGGCCAGACCCACACATCTGCGGGAGGAGTGATGGACTTTGGCAACCTCCTCACCTAGGGATTCACTTCAATAGTCCCCATCCCTTCAACATGAATTACCCTCTGGCAAGCATCTCTGAAGTTTTGAAATGCACATGTCATATCCTGCTGATATCTATTTATTTTTGCCATTGGCCAAAATATTGATATTATATGTGAAAATGGTGCAATTGCTGAATATCTGGTTTTTACTGTAGAGGATAAATACACAATAATTTGTATAAATTGTATAAACAGAACCAAAAATGTCTCAGTATTGGAGCTTATGTATCAATAAAATAAAAAACAATTATCTGTGAATATTTTATAATTAGATCTTGTATGTTTCTTTTTTTTAAAGATTTTATTTCTTTATTTGACAGAGAGAGAGCACAGGTAGACAGAGCGGTAGGCAGAGGGAGAGGGAGA